TAAACAACAAAGCCAACAGTTAAGAAAAAGTAAGCCTGTTTGATTAAAAAAAAACTGCTTTCATTTAGAAACAAAGACAGGAAAGACCACTCTGGAGGTAAGCTATCAAGAATATAACTTTTTCAAGGGTCGGTCCTGTAAATTGTGATCCACCGGTGTGGAGAGCTGAGCGGGAGTCTGACAACAGGCGTGCTGGATCATGGGCGTGGTGGTCAGAGTGCTGGTTGTAATGGAGGCTGATAAAAGAGATCTGGTGGTCTGATCACACATGACCAGGGATGGCCAACTTTGGCCCTAAGCAGAGTGTATGACATTATGAGCCCTGATAAGCGGTTCTTCTTCTGTGGCTCTTTGGCCAGGAAAGTTCCCTGAAAAGAGAGAGCTTATTGAAAGCAAACTCAGACAATAAGTAGTTACAATAATGTAGTCTACTCTTGAACTGGTCAGATATGCACAGCTGAGAGCAACGCTGAATGCAAGCGAGATTGCACTATATTTATAGCATTTATTTATATTTATAGCATCCCATTAATCCAGCCATCCATATATACCTAATAATTCACTTTTTTTTAGTCTACATCTGTAAATTTTGTAATTACTGTACATAGCACAGACTCTTGCACTTTCTGCTTATTTGCACTTCTGGTGAGATGCCAAACCTCATTTCGTTACTCTATACTTGTATATGTGTAATGACAATAAAGTTGAATCTCATCTCAATCTCATCTCATCGATTGGACAGGAGGTTTGCAAGCTTGGATGACAGCTGGAAATTATCAAGGGAGGGCTCATACTGGTGCTATGAATGCAAGGAAATAGGCCGGCAGCTAGCTGACAGAGATACATTCAGTGGTTGGACACAGTCACTAAAACATACTGGTAAACATGAAACATAATAAAGCAGTTTTGTAACGTGCAGAGAGACATCGCTGGTTGCTGCCTAAGTCTATGGTCATGTCATGTGCCGGTCCATGATGTGCACGACATCACCCCCTCCTCTCTCGCAGGGAATTTTCCTGAATATTTCCTGCTCGTTCTCACATCAGGTCACCCAAAATTCAAGTCAAAAACCACAAGGCTGGCAGGATAAAATACAGAGCTAGCAAAGGCTTGGAGGAAAACAGCTACAGTAAAAGTGACAAAGCGACCTCTGTGAGATAAATACTGTCATTACTGGTGTAGAAGACACCAACAAGTTATCTGCTGCCTACTCCTAATGCTCTGTCATATAAAAATAACTGAAAATATAACTAATCTGTGTTTATCTTTGGATTTATTTCAACCCTGGTGTTTGGCTCTGTTCTGAATCTATCCTCTCCTGTCCCATGCACACGGTCTCCAGCTTGACTAATCTGTCGGGATGTTAATGAGAGGGCTGAGGACTCAGACCTGGCAGCAGCACCACAGAGCTACATCAGTCAGAATGTGTGTGTGTCTGTGTGTGTGTGTTTTGTAGTGGGGGCTGTGAGGATGTGAAAGAGGCTTTGATCAGTCTCGATTGTCTCTGATTCTCAGAGTGGGTCACAGTTTTAGAGGGAGACAAAGATGGAGATGTGAACTCTCATTGAAGATGAATATGAAGGTCGTGTTGTGACGGTAAACATGTTTTGTTTTTTGTTGTTGTTAATCTGTCCTGTCCTGATGGAGAGATGCATGACTAATCCTCTGTGTTAACTCCAAATATTACATAATGAGAGGATCCCCTCACCGACTTTCTCTCTGTGGAACTTCATCCACCCCTCCCCCCATCCCAAGGTTGCCTACAATGTCATTTTCCCCATGACTGGGTGACATAAGTAACTATGGCAACTGCACGTTCATATCATAAATGATAGATAAGGGGGTGGTAACAAACAGCTTTCCAGGCTGACCTGATTAAAGTGAGTGTGTAATCAGAAGTGTGGCGCCTCGTTCCTTACGGGACCACACCTTGACTGCCCTGCTGGGGTTCTGGACCCTCAGAAATACTCTGTTTAAAACAGGTCTCCTAGATATTATAAGCTTGTGTGCATCAAATGTAGTCCCATGGAGGTGATATAGAAACAATGCACAGCCATGGGCGTCGTAGGTGGGGTAAAAGTGAGACTGACAACTCAGAGAGAGGAGGGGGGACTTTATCGTCATGAAATAGAAAATATTGTCATTGTTCACATTTTTTCTCTCTCTAAGAATAAAAAGTGCTGCAATTAAAGTTAAATAGGCAGAATAAATGAACATGATCCTTTAACGCACAGCATGCAAATTCCGCCACCAGGGGGCTCTCGATCTAAACAATAACAAAAGATGATGTCACGGCTGCGGGGAATCATGGGAGTGATTCTCTCTGCTACTCCACCATCCACTCCCACCCCCAATGAAAACAAAGTCTGAGTTGAGGGTAGTCAAGAGGAACATGCGAAACAGACCTGAGGTAGAGAATATGTTTACCTACAATGTATCAAAGTTTAATTTGCATGATGTTTTTTTTTATCACAGCAGCACATTCAAAGAGTCTGTTTATGTATCAGTGACGTCACCCATTGGTTACTGAAGGGGACGTTTGGAGGCCATCCATAGCAGTCGCCATATTGGAAATGCTGTCTCAAACCAACCTTAGGGCAACCTAGAAAACAGGCAACGGGTTGGAGCCGAGCAGGGACGTTGATTTCCTGGTCATGTGATGTCATTGATAAATTGTCTTTCAAAGTAAAAGCCCCAATTTTCACATAAAATCATACGAACAGTTAGGCTACAACATAATAATTAACTGAAGGAACAGAAAGACAAAGGCTCATGTTTAGTTGCAACAACTCTCATACTTTTTTCAAAAAATCACCTGGGTATGTTTCTTTTTGAGGATAGCACGTTTTCTCAGACAGTTTAAAGGAATTTTGATGCAGCGGCTCCTTCTTTAAAAAATGAAAAAAAAAAAAAAAAAAACATCCAGGGTGCTCTGATGTGTTCCTCTGAATCTTCTTCATTTGTTTAAATGATGGCAGCACTTAATGTCTGTGATTCAGTCTGCATAGAAGTAATCCCTTTGTTCATCGTTATGCAAAGCAGACAGTATTGATGCTGTATAATACAGGCTACCCCCCCCTCCCCCCTCTACCACCCCCACAAACTACACACAGTGCGGTCCTCCTCGGATCCATTGGAGTTACGTCTGCTGCGGGGAAAGCCTTACATGTGAATTTTTAATGTGTGGACTTTTGTGATTTCACATTCATAAATGATTTTCTGAGGAGGAGGAGGAGGATGGATACATAATTCAAGGTCTCTCTAAACTGTCATGTTGGTGTACGACTTTAACCTTTTGACCTTTTAGTGGCAAATGCATGGGGGGGGGACAGAAACACATTTTGAATTTTACAAAGGCATTTTTTAATTACATTTTTTTTTTTTTAAATTGTTCATCTATTTTCTTGGAAAAAATTGAGAACCCATGATATCTCTCTCTGGTCCTAAAATAAAGATCGTCCACTGAACATCATCACAGCACTCGTGTTGTGATGGCTGAGCTTTTCTTCAGCGCTCGTTTTGTCACGTGTTTGTGTTTGGGATCTTGTACGTTTCTCTTGTTGCATTTTGTCTTCAACTTTTTCAGGTGTGAATTTTACAGCTCATTTCTCCTGATGTAAAGTGTTGGGACTGTTGCACACTATTTTCACCTGTCCGCCATTTTTTCCTAAAAACAGTCAGACTTCCTTACAATATGTCACCACCTCCTGCAGCATGAAATGTTCAGGTGTGTGAGAGAGGTTCACTCAGATGAAGGTGGTTTGTTTCTGTCTGGGTTCAGGTTCTTTATCAGGTGATAGACCAGTCTTTTTTTTTCCTCTGATGAATGTGTTTACAGTGATAATACTGACTTTTAGATAATACAGCAAACACAAACATATGACCTCTGGACTCTAAGCTGTAAATCTCTTGTTAAAAAAACTACTGATAAAATGTCCTCATCAGCTTTCTAATCTAAAGGATCAATCTCTCTTTTGAAGATGAATGTATTCATCTATAAAGCCCTTACCGGATAGTTACCATCATATATCCCCTCCTTGTTACATCTGAACCCTCGTCCATTTTTAACTCACTCGAGTGAGAGGCTGGTTCTCCAGGTTCCTCAAGCCAGGACTGATCTATAAGTAAAACTGCTTTCAGCGTTAGTGCTGCAAACTCTTGGAATATTTTACAACATGAACTGAAATGGATCACTTTTCTCCCTTTTCAACACTTTAGGAATATTAATTTTAACCGCCCAATAGCTGTCTGTAACTGTTTTATTTGATTTTATTTGTTGACTAATTATCGCAGTGATTTCAAGCTTTTTAAATTATTTTTTATTACATATATTTTTTGTTCTTATTGCTCTTTTATTTATTATATTTCCTGTGGTAGCTTCAAGTCATTTTGTTTTTTCATTTATGGATGTATTCTTGGTATCATTGTGAATCGAATGATTGCTACTAGTCATAAATAAAGGTTGATGATGATGATGATGATTAAACGTAGAGAATAAAATCATTTAACAAGACAAGCAATAGGTATTAAGGTTTATTTTTTTACTGTATTGAAGTTGAACTGAAAACTAAAACTGTGTGACTGTAATGTAAAAAAAAAAACATGAGTGTTAGGACAAAGCTTTCCTCCAAAGTGTCTCATTTCTTGTCCAAGTTAGTCTTTCTGAAATTCTTCAATATATTTACGTATTAAACTCTGCCTTGAGTAACAGAACAGGTTTAAGAACAGGTGAATTAAGGTGAACAGATCGAGAGGTATTAAAAACTTGTTGGATATAATCTTGTTTAATGTCAGGTTGAGATTGATCCTCCTGAACGTTCAGCTCTTGATGCTCTCGTTGTCTGACTGTAGTTTGGCGCCCTCTGCTGGTGTGAGTTGTGATGCACAGTGACATGAAGTCCAGCAGGGGGCCTCGCTGCTGCTGCACAGCTTCACAGTGAGCTCACACACACACACACACCTGTCTGATAAGCAGCTACTTAAACTCAGGTGAGTGCGTGTGTGCGTGTGTGTGGGTGTGTGGGAGTGGGAGCGTGCGTGTGTGTGCTGAACACTTCTGATCACTTTGTGTGCTGCTCTGAGTCTCAACAAGGTAAAGTCACTTTGTTTCACACACAACACAACAACACATGGAAGATAGTTAGTAAGATGTTTAAATTCTATTTCAAGATAAATGTCTTCTTTAGAGATTCAGTGGAGTTTGTTGAATCTCATGTTTGACTCTTTAATGTTCAGATTAGATTTGAGATGATTGTGTTTGTTTCTAATATTTTCTGCATCTTTCTAAACGGTTTCTCTCTCCTCAAACTTTCTTTGTTCACTAAACCTCTTCATGTATGTTTCTCACACTGAGCAGTGACCGTCTCACTCAGAGCAAACACACACTGAGCTGGAAATCAGGATTTTTGTTCAATATCATCAGTGTTGAAGCTATTGAAACAGATTTAAATTATTGTGATATTTGGAGTAAAATAGACGATTAAGCAGCGTATGTGACGACGTGTGATAACAGAGTCTCTTCAGTGAGTCAACCAGATTCATTCACCTCCTCCTTTTTTTTTTTAAATAAGGTCACGGCAGCTTAGAGGCTTTGAACAGAGACAACACAGACACGTTTCTGTGTCTGAACCTCCATCCCGCAAAGAAGCCGACTGAAGAAACAGTTTGAACATTTTCTCTGTACCTTCACAGAAAACCAGAACGGCCAGTGGGACCCCTACAACGGATTCTGTGGTAGACCTGGACGATCAAAAGGTGACAATCACAACTTCTTTAATTCATTTTATTTATCAGACATCTTTAAAAAAAAAAAAAAAAAAAAAATAGCAGACGATGTAAAATCCAGCAAGTTTAAAATCAGGCTCAAACCATTTTGCTCTAAATGACTATTCATATTTAGGATTATAAACCCCTTTCCTTACGTGTCAGTGATTTTTAAAATTGAAATGTTAAGTATAAAGTGGCTGAATGCTAACATTAGCGGTATCCAACAGGTTATTGAGTATGTTTTTTAGCTCATAATGTGGCCCGTCATGTCACTGGATGTTCAGTTTCCATTGTTTGTGAAGTTTCTCATCAATCAGGACTTTTTTTTAATTTTTTTTATGAAAACAGTTCCTCAGATTTGTGACTTGAACCTGGAGTATAACTGTAAGACACGATAACATTTGGGCTTCCCACCCTGACCGTTACGTCGTGGGAATATTAGCGGGTATTAGCCCCAGAGCTAACACTAGCTCCTGGCATCCCGAGGCTGCAGCAACAGAACAACTGCTCAGCCGTCTCATTCCCAGTGTCAAAAATCCAAGCCAGAAATCTCCTTGTTGCTGTAGTACTGATGTCATTCTGTGTTGACTAACGATGCTATGTTCCCATCTCAACCAAGCTTTCTGTGCCCGGTCTTTCTTACTCTCTCCCGTTTACAAGCTGTCCCACAGAGCGCTCCCTCCTCAGACCCAGAAAACTTCTGTTGAACTTGCAGCTTTTTTTTGCTGTTTTCTTGTTAAATGATTTTTGAATCATGTTGTCTGTGTATTAGCAGCGTGTCTGACTATGCAGTGTTTTGCCTTTTTTGCAGCGAGTTTATTTCTTTTGCAGCACGTTTCAGCGTTTGCATTTGTTTCAGGAATTCACATTAGCTTTTAAATGTGCATCGTTTCTGACTATGCTGCACGTTTTTCTGAAGGTACAACGTTTCAGCCGTTGTCGAACCTTTGAACCTACAGGCCACCGTACTCATCACACACTGCAACTTCTTCCAGACTTCACTTTAGTACAAGGGGTTCTCATGTTCTGCACACTCTGTCACAGACTTGTTTATGTAAATTTTCCCATTGTGGGATAAATAAAGGATTATCTCTCTTATCATGTCTTTGTGACTTTAATGTTCTGATCCAGTAAAAGTTGTTAAATGTTTGTTTCTTCTTGCAGGTGGAAATGGAAAAACCTGGTACTGAGCACTGATCATGTTCTGCAGGAGACATCTTGTTTTTAAAGAATCAAATTAAAATGAACTATTTCTTAATAAATGATTTAAACATATTGATAATTTTTATTGATTTTATTTTTGAACCAGGTTTTAACAAGGTTTCTTAGCCTAGAATTGTATGTTTTTTAAAAAACATTTCATATGTGCTGCCATGTTGTGAACGGTTACTGAGTAAAACCATGTTTACACAGTGTGGCCATTAGATGATGATTATTTACCGTGTTGCAACCTTTGGTCATACGTCCATCACTTTATTTTAAATATACGTCTTCAACTCCAGTCTGTACTCAAATGATATCAAACTGGACAGAGAGACTCCTTGGAAACTGCACATAACAAATTAAGTTCTAATCCTCTGACACTTTGACAACTACTGATTGGCTTAACGGGAAGGTAACATTGGACTGTGCTGATTGGCTGTTCAATACACACAGAATGAGCCAAGATTTGCATCAGCTATGTTTAGGGTCACAGACACAGATAGGACACCCATCTTAATTATAATATCGATAAGGAGAATTGATTCAACAGGTGGTACAGTAGGAATTAAATTCTGCAGAGGAATTGTAGACTGTTTCCCAATACAGACCTGATTTATTTCTGTGATAACTGCTTAATCACATGTAAACATGTTACAGTCACATTTTAGATCTTTTATGATACCTCAAGGATGAAATTAGTTTAACTGAGTTTTTCTCACAAATGCAAAAAATACATATGCATGCATTTTTCTTCTCCACATGCACAAAAGAGAGGGGGGAGGGGATGGGGGACTGGTGAGAGGTGAGGAAGGGGTGAAGGTACTTGGGGGAGGAGGGAATATGGGAGCGTTAAGTGTATCGCCTTTTTCCTCCAGTGAGCGTTCTAGTGTTTTTTTTTTAGCTTGCCTGCCTTCTTGTTTCTTCTCCTTTGCCTGCTGATATTGTTTGCTCCTCTTTATGCTTACCACCTGGACTGGTTATTAAACTCTGCTTAACTACATGAGCCTGCATTTTGGGTCTTTTTATCTGTCTGGTTCTGTTGGGGGGGGGGTCAAAGGAAAAGGTTGGGAACTGCTGCACTAGGGTATAAAAATGACTAACCAGAATAAAAACAGTACTATGCAATGGTGTGTTCACTGTATGCTTTATGTAATGCAGTTTGTGATTTCAGACAGCCTCTTGTCTCACTCTCACTCTTTCATCCTCGATGGATGGTGAGGAGTTCTCCTTTTACAGCCACCAGAGGGCGACATGACATTTATGTTCATCCTGAATCCTCACACAGTAGACTTATTTCCTGTGTGTCAACAGGTCAATTGATCTCACTTTGTGCAGCAAGGGACCACTCAAGACCTCGTACGTTGAATTACATTTTTCGTGGAGAATAATCTCAACAGATGGAACAGTTTAACTTTGTGTAAATAGGAATGAAATTCTGCAGCAGATTTGTAGAATATCATGATATATAGTAGACCTGATTTATTGCTGTATTTTTGTGATAAATGCTTAATCACATGCAAACATGTTATAGTCACATTTTAGATCTATTTATGAAACGGAAAGGAACAAATTAGTTTATCAGTGAACAGACCTTTTAAATCTAAAGAGCCAGAAAATTACTTTTAAAGAGTCATAGTAGGTGTCTGGTCTTTCATCAGAGGAAAGAATCGAAACATTGCAACAATTGTCTAAATTACATTGGCAATGTTTGTGTGCAATTTAGACATTTTAGTGTGCAGGAGTTAGCCTGAAATTATTTAATTGAAAACAAGAAATTACCCAATATTGTGTGTATTGGGTCTGGGGCCTCTATTACATTTTTGTTGCAGTGGTATTCAATCAGTTATCAATATAATAGCTTCTAAATGAGTATTGAATAGACTATTTTCCCATGTTGCGGTGATGTAACTCGCTGTGTGGGAGACCTGTAGCTGTTGTTGTGTCTTACTGTTTAGCTCCAAGTTTATTTCATGATGATGACGCAAATCTGATCAACAGTTTTCAAGAACCTCTGATTGATGACCAAGTCCAGAGACAATGAACGAGCAATATCTGGAGACACAAGGGGTCGTATTATGAGTTACAAAACACAGCTACTTCCTTGTTCATGTTTACATTTAAGAATCACTGATACAATATGAAAGGCTTTTATTTATTCTCGATATCAATGATCATTGAGAGCAGAATTATTTGAGCATGAGGTCAAACTTAATGTGGAGTGTGTGTGTGTGTGTGTGTGTGTTTGTGTTTGCGCTCTGAAGTGATGACCTGTGAAATGTGAGCAGCAGGAGATGTTTGAGGTTTGACACTGTCTCCCGTTCACATACCTCTTTGGGCCTGAACCTGATGCTGTGTGACCTTGATGGTTCTCACTCTGAATACTGAAGGCTCACTGAGCAGAACCTGAACCACATTATTCAACCTGACCTCTTCTCGCAAGACCACCGCAGTCAAACTGTGAGGGGAGGTCTGCACTCCATCTGACAGTTCCTCATGCTCCCGGTAAATCTGTGCAAATCAATAAAAAAAGACAGACTGATTCACAAAAAATCACACAAAGGGTTAAATGCTCCCCTAACTGTGCTGCAGAGCAAACAGCGTCTCTGCGTCTCGGTGCTGTTTGTGTGTGTTTAAATGATCCATTATGCAGTCATTTGGGGAACAAAATTGACCCTTTATAGACCAATCAGCCTTATTGCAAAAACTGTTTCATTCAGAAACACAGGTGCTAACAGCAATGCACGGTTATAGGGAAGTTGGTGGAAACTGCGCCGTAATAGATATTAGAGATGTCCCATCCAAACTTTCCAGAGATCAGGAAAACAATTTTAAACTTCAAACTTCTTTTAAAATCTAACGGTATTGAAACAGGGGCAACAGAATTAGAAGTCACAGACACCAAATATTGGGACATTTCCTGTTTTTATTATCACAAATTGCAGACAACTTCGGCTCCTAGTCTAAATTACACAAAAATATTGTGCAGTTTTTGTTGCATAACATTCAGACTGTGTGCAGGAGTGTACCTGTAATTTTTTGATGGATTAATTCCTCTTCTACACACCTGTTTTATGGAATAGATGTAATTTTTTTTCAGGTTTGGGTGCTATTAGATACTATGGATCATTAAAATAACATACCCCCAAGGCCCCAAAGTGATGTGAATAAATTCAACACCACATGCATTAATCACAGTAGATGGTAGATAGTCACACATCTGATTATGTCAAGGAGTTTATGTATCTGTGGTGTGTCTCCTTAGCAAGGGCAACACAGTCTTCAAACCATCCGGAAGTCAGAGCAGTACAACAACAAAAAACTAAGATCTGACTGTATAACATTTCTGTTAAATCTGTTCTGCTGTACGCCGCAGAATGCTGGCGAGCCGTTGAGAGTCATATGTAAAATATCAAAGCGGAACATACAGTATGTAGCAGTATGCAGTAACGTCCTTATTGGCCAGAGATCACCAACGAGGACTTGAAATCAACAACGATGCAAAATCGACGGAAATCGATGCCGACAGCGCAGATGGTTCGGACATGTCTCGAGAGTAGACTTGAGATGGACCCCACCTGGAGTGAGGCCAAAAACAACAACCAGGTGGAGAACTGGGACCCCCACATTTTTTGGAAAGCAACAGACAATGACATTTTGCTGAAACTGGACAGTTTTCATCCCAACTGGTTGAAGAATAATATACCCTTTGGAACAATTTCAACACCTCAGACGGATTAGTGATGGAGAACAAGAGTTTGAAAAGCAGGCCAAAATCCTGTCACAACGACTGTCCAGGACTCTTATGAAAAAGAAAAGGAAATACTCAAAACATGGGCAGATAAACTTTGTCACAAGTTGAATCTCATTCAAAGTGATCCTATAGACCCTTTTAGGGCCTTCGTCACAATGACATCACAGTATTTGCTGGAGGTAAAACAGAGGGTAGTGGGCGACACAGGGGTCTTTTTGTGCTGTTTGATCCACTTTCAAATAAAAGCTGTAGGATCACTGCAAAGCCAGCCATGCAAGTTCAGATGTAATTGTTTGCTGTGTTGATGATGACCCAAGCCCGGTACAGAGCTGTCTTCTGTCCTTGCCGCTGGCTGGGCAGAACCTCCGACTGTACGACACAGAACGATTAATGAAATTGTGGGATATGAAGTTGGGCATCTAAGGACTTCTACCCCCTCGATTTCTCTTTACTAAAAACAAAAGTTTTTCAAAGCAGTCCTGTAAAATCATGCATCCACTGAGTGTGAACATATGGGTCGGCTCCAGTTCGTCATTAACTTATTCCAGTTAAAGTTCTCGAGTCCTGGAGAGTAAGGGACTCCATATTTTCAGAGAGACTATTTACTTTGTCGAAAGCAAGCAAAAGAAAAAAAAAGTGTTTTAGCTAGTGTTGGCTAATGTGTCTGGAGGAATATCTTGCTTCCAGCTAAGCCCCACCCACTAAAAAGTCACAATGTTTACTAAAACTAAAAGGGTCTTTCCTGCCCCTCCTACCATCAGTTTCAAAAAGACTCCAATACTCTGAAGGGATAGTCAGAGCCATCTCCCTGCTAATAATAAAAAACACCATGGCTTCATCAACCACTTATGGGCACTTATAAATGTATTATGTGCATCAAAGAGTATTTATGTTATTTGCTCTTTGAAAAAAAACAACATAGTGATATAATTAAATTAGCATTTCAGACCCAGTTCTTTCCCTGGTGACATTCAAGAATCAGAAAAGTTCAACTGAAGTAGACAAACTAAACTAAGTTTATATTTCAATGATCACAAGCTGTGAAAAACATTGAGTTATTGTTTCCTCCTCAGACGTTTGCACAGGAACACTATCTTTCTCAAGGCTTTATCAGAATCATGTAATGTAACCCCCCCCCTCTGAGAAGCTCCGTGCTGCAGTCTCCAGGCAGGCCAGCAGCTGTCAGCCATCAGGACTATTTTAGTCAAAGAGGGCCGAGCCAACTTTCACACTTTAGAGTTCTCTAAAAGAAAACGACACTGCCCGCCGAGGGTCACAATGCAGTACTGCACGCTGCCCGGGGGGGGGGGGGGGGGGGGTC